CTTAATATGGTTGTAACACCCTTGATCCGCGGTCACATCGTCCCAACCAGAGATATTATAGCCGCCACTCGAGAACTATCAAGCCTAAGTTCCAAAAACGAATTCTGGGTCCTGGCCGAACGGTCCACGAGTGGTTTTCCCATCTAAAACGATCATAAGGCTTGCCAACCCGGATCGAGATAGACAGTTGGTTCGCCTGGACTGGACTAGTATCATTTGAAACCCAAGTAATTACTAAAATACTTTGATCTTTATTACTTAAGTTTTAAAAAGATACATTTTACAAGCTGGCCAAGAGCATACCGCTCCAAAAACAAGGCACAACCAATACAAACCATAGTTTTACAAAGAGGCAAAAAAAGCAAACTACCGTTGATTATCCTAAGTCCTTTCGTGCTACTTAGTGAGTCTGGTCCCTTTAGCAAATATGAATATTAGTCTCGCCCGATCCCCAAGGATAACAACAACATATAAACATATCACGCACAAACAATCACAACTGCAACCAATCGTTGGTCACTAAACTGTGACTCTACAATTTATTCGAATGCATTTGTTTTACTTTCCAATGAGGCTTGGCGGTACCGATGACTATTCCCGATTCTCCTTGGATTTGTAAACACAAAGTCTAACAAACCCGAGCTTCCACTAAACTCTATACACCGTCGTGTATCCACGGCCCTTGGAGCCAACCAGGTGCCTGCCGTGAGCACAATAACTACCGCGTCTTGCCTAGGAACGGCGGACCGACTCTAAGTTTGATTGTTACAAGCATGTTCCTACCTAACACGCAAATAATCACAACATGGTAGAACTTAACTTGAGATGCACACAAATACTTTTAACTAGGTATGTGGTATCCTTTACTACATACTATTTACTAAGCATGTGACCCTTTACCACATACCATACCGCAAGTATTTAACACCACATGCACACTCACATGCAACATGAAATAACAATTCATACTTAGCAAAATTCACACAAAATTGCCACCTCAACATCGTATTTCATAAACCATGCATGATGTCCGATCACAGAACATCCCTTGCATGTAACCGAAATTGCCTGCACTAAAACCATTAGTACTGCACGCAAGTTTACTGAGACTCACATTTCAATCAGAAGTTTCCTAGAGTGCCTTCCGACACGAACCGGTCTCCCGTCTCGCAACTTGTTTAACTTGAAGCTAAGGTAAAACCTTAACTTAACGACTGGCTAAACAGAAACTAGGATTTAACCAACGAGTATACTAGATCTTACCTTGATCTACTCGCAAAACCCATCAAAACCGAACAAAAACCTTGAAAATTCGCTAAGGGTAAGGCTAAGACGATTTTGGCAGCGTGTGGGTAAGCAAAGTGTGTTTTTGGATCGAAAAACTAAGCCTAAGGGTCTTATTTATAGGAACTAAGCCTAAGGGTCTTATTTATAGGCTAACTCGATCAGTAGTGGGATTTGCCAAGTGTTACCCATTTTGCCAAGTGTTTGCGTTTTCTGCTAAATGTGGGCGGAACTGACACGTGACTGACATGTGTCGGTGCATTCCAGTCGCCCAATCGTAGCTTAGCCACGCTCTTGTACACGCGGAACCTTGTGTGACACGTGCCGATCAGGCCTGGATTGACCGAAACTGTCCTGCCGTGCCCAGACTTACCCGCGCTCGACTCGATGCGTACTGATCTGGCCACAACACGCTCGATTCGATGCGTACTGATCTGGCCGCAACACGTAAAACTCGGCCCGCAATATATTTCTCGACCCAAATCCATTTTTACTTGATGGATTTCAAATTTTTCTTGATTAAATTTTTTCTTGGGACTTTCTTGACCATTCTCCTTTGGAAAATCTTTAAGGCTGCAATATTGAAAAATCTCGACGCGACCAGACATCCTTACCCATCACTAGGGTTATTACATTTTTTGGCAAATTGTGTTTCCAAATTGTTAAGAAGAAGTTTTTCTTTTCAAAAAATGACATTAGCCAACAAATTTTATGTATTCCCAAGTTTGAATTTTAAAATATACCGAATTAATGGTAGTACTAATTAGTTTAGAAAAAAATCTAAACTTATTGACCAAAGAATGACGGTTTTTCTTTATTTTCAACATTAAACTTAGAGAACTCCAAAAGATAAGTACATCAAGATTCAAAGAAGTGTAAAGCAGGAGATAATAACAACTCCTTGATTTGAAATGCTCAAATGTGATACACTTCTTCGTGCTGACATTATATAATGGCAACTATAAAAGCATACAATTTATCTTTTTGTTTTCTCACTCATTTACATAATGTGAGAGGTAGTTCGAGAGCTCACAAAGACAACATAGAAGACAATACCTCTTTACATTTACACCTCTCATGGTTCTCCTCAATTGAAGTCACCCATTGCGTACCTGAAAGACCCTCTAGATCCCAATATAACCGAAAATCCTGCTTTTAAGACAGGAAATACCGAGTTCCCTATAACTTCTTCAATCATTAAGGTCTCGATGGGAAACACACAAAAGTCTTGCAAAAGACCATGAATGACAAAAGGCGACTTTGCTTGAGTCTTCTTCAACGTCTCATAGATCAAATATCTTCTTCCATTGCTCGTTAGATCTCCACTCAGTATCTCTTAAGTTGCTCAAGTAAACGTATCACTATGTAAAACAAAGCAAATCAATGCATATAGGCATTGTCTTTGTCCATCAATATGTAACATAGAGGATTACAACTTATAAGCAAAGAAGATCTACCAACACATATGAAGTTCTCGCTATGGGACTAAATATGGTTTCAATATCCCAGTGGTGAGATACCTACTAATTAAAAAGATGAGAATAAAATTTCAGTCATTGATTGTTAATAGACAGAATGAACAATTTCTCAATATTTTATTGCAAGAAATAATTTCTAAATTTGGGGAAGAAAGGAACGTGAGATTTCACCGATCCAAATCTCACCCCGCCACTCGTCTTATCTCCATCTCTGCATCAATAGTAAAACCGTAATCAGTCTAACTATAAGAATGATAAAAAAACACATCGTCTATTGTCCTTTCTCCTATGCAAAGCATGAGTGAAATCACAAATCACAATCACTGTTTTAAAAGAATATTGAAATTGTAGAGAACAAAAATTATATAACCAACGTAGTTTAGTTGTTTACATGCGTAAGAGGATTATCGTACAAAGGGGCATAACTAAGATCTTCTTTAGCTAAAATCATGTTTCAATCTGGGTTCAAATAGAATCTAAATCCCCTCCTTCAACATATTGATCCAGTAACAAAAACTATGATAAAAATGTTTTCTTATCCTACAATGAAACATACCACGAAGATTAGAAACGTCAATACCTCGAAAGTAAAGTCATGTTATAGATTTGGTTGAAATATTAAAGCCTGCATAGTTAATTTGATTCTTCAAATTAACTCAAATTAACTCATCATCATCGCAACTATTTTTTGTCTAAGAATATCAGTAGAAGAGGTCGCATCCTGAAAATAGTAACAATAGTAAACATCTTCAAGAACAAAAGTTCAAAGAATAAATTGGAGAGAACAAATTTTACTTGGACTTATCATTCTAACATACAAGGAGATACTCGCAGTTAAACGGGGGATAGAAAAGTTTGAGTTCCATCTGGTTGGTCAACATTTCCTCATAGAGATGGACATGTCCTCGTTTCCAAAGATGATCCAGTTCAAGCAAAAGGTTTTGCCACAAGCACAACTATTGAGATGGGCAAGCTGGTTTTCACAATGGAAGTTTGATGTAAAGCACATCAAAGGGAAAGACAACTTCCTCCCGGATTTTCTATCCAGAACTCAAAAACAAATTTCAACAATCATCCCAATGATATACACCTTGAGCCCTGAACATCCAACAGAAGAGTCCCCGAAGAACATGATTGCAACAATGCCACAAGGTTTACAAGAGAAGATGCTAGACACTGTTTTGGTTTCCAGABGAGTGGAAACTCTTCACGGCTTTCTAAGACTCTACATCTATAGGTATGGCCTAGACCTTGGTCCACTATTAGGAATACCTTACCATCCGACATATRRTTRCCTRACAACCATTGAGATGAATCCATGTCACTACGAGAATTTTCCAAAGGAAGCCTATCTCCTACTTTGGTATTTGTCGGATCTTTACACCATTGGAGTATTATTCAACAAGTGTCACATGCTCCAGTATTTGGCGAAGTGCATCATGACAAAGAAGAAACCGCACTACAAGCAACTTTACAAGTGGCTCACTCTGTTCAAAGATGTGACGTGGTGGCAGGAGAATATTCGAGCTCAGCATAGATTTGAAGTCTTTGCCACGTTTAAGATAATCACTCGTCAAGTCCAGACAGAAGGTGGAATAATTATCCAGAAGACTTATGAGGCCCATATCCAGACAAGCTACAATGATAGCGCATTTAATGGAGATAATTTTCATGCAAGGACACGTGGTCTGGCAGCACCTCAATTACCTCGAAGAATCTCAACTAGACCCCAATCTTTTATGTCCCTGTACAGCAAGATGGCACAACACGAATATCTATTCGAAAGATTTCGTCGAAGAAATAAGACAAATCATACTCGCCTTTCATGATCAATACGCGTGGCCAAGATCTCATCCTGACCATCCGATATATTGAGTAGAACGCAAGAAATCCAAAATCAGGAGATACATTCCAGGCCATAAGATCCACATGACAGAATACAGTTTTGACGATGAGGAAGACGATACGGGGTGAGATGGGTCCCATCCCTTTTGGAGACAGGGGGAATAAAGTAAAGTATATTACGCGTGTGGTTG